CCAGATGCATCTACAGCTGAGCTTCCTCTTATCCTTGGCCCAGTCATTTCATTAGTACTGTAACTACTTGTAGTTGTTCTCCCCTCTTCCCCCATAGCATATCGAACACCTTCCAACCTGAGAGACTCATCTTCCGATGTCATCTCTTTTATTATCTTAGTACTGCCCGTGGGGTCACGATAAGTTGGATACGACTAAATGACTGAATAACAAATCTCTACGATATTATTTGTTGGATTGGCCAAGAATTTGGGTTGGAAGTCAATGAGAAAAAAGCCATTTGATGCACGAAAGAGATTATGCAATCCGTCAAGAAATTTAAGTGTAAAAAATTAAATTGAGAAACACTTGGTATCTTGGTTCAGATCACACTTCCTGTTTTGGATCTCCTTGGAAACGATGCATTATTTGATTCTGGTGAGTCAGATACTCTCTTAAAGAATTCTTGAGTCAAGAACGTGGTCATCTGCTCTGACCAGCTCACCAGCCACGGGAGGAAGCTTTCAGATGAGGAACTGAATTTCCCCTGGGGGAGCATTTCATTATTAGGGTCATGGTACTGAAAAAATTTCAGACTGCTTTCTGTTTTGGGGACAAACTCTGCTAAAGGCTCTTCTCCTGTGTATAGGAAAGGAGCATGGAAGGAGTGCTGTATTTGGAGGCATGAGACTTGGGCGAACTTATGACTCTGCCATCTATGATCTGTGTAAGTATGGCCAAGTCCTGTAACCTCTGTACTTCAGTTTCTCATCTGTAAAATGAGGGGGTTGCTCTCAATGGTTTCTAAGCTTCCTTCCAGCTCTAGATCCACCCTGCTATGAACATTTTTAGCAATCACTTCTAAGCAATATGGTCGTAGAAAGAAAACAGTCCTTTGACTGCAAGAGAGAGCCAAATGCCTATTTACTTGGGAGACAGCAAAGTGACTTTGCAAGACCAAGCAACAGTCTGCTTCCCTCCCCTAAACATGTTCCATAAATGTTATTTTCCCTTTCATTTTGTAACTTTGGGTGTAGAACATGTACAAAACTGCCCTTACTGATTCCAGCTCATCACATGAGCTAGTTCAGTACCTGGGATGCTTTGGTGACGTTGAGATCCCTGGATACTTAGGTCTGGCATGATTCAGCAACTTAGAGGGCTTGGGGTCTTGAGATGGTGAGACAATCCCCCTATACTGGTCACTGAGAAGAGCTCATCCTTAAGGGTTTACTCAGTAGACCCTTAAAAGGGGAGTTACTCTACTCTGGGATCTTTCTTCTTCCTGGTACGCTTAGCCTGGTAAATGCCTCTCCCCACGGATGGACCACCTTTCTGCCCCAACAAGAATGGTTGTATATGGCAGCTAAACCACATGTCTTGTCATGTGAGCTGAGTGAGCCTTGAGTCTGGGTTTGGGGCTGCTTCTTCTGTGTTTCTTTGTGTGATCCCAGGTGACCGAACACCAATCTTGAGAACTGCCAACAAGAAGTAAAAGGAAAGCCAAGGGGTTTGATATATCTTTTATATGTAGAGAAGAAATACCTGCCCTATCCTGATTTACATTACACAATAAGTACCTTTCTATTCCCACATTTGAAAGAGATGCTCAACATGAACCAAAACTTTAGCTATAAGCGATTTCCCCCAAGGTGCTGGGGTGGGGGGTTAAGGAGTAAGGGATGTCTGAAAAGAAGGCTACCTTCTTCTAGGAAGGCAAGTTCCCTCAAGACTCAGCTCAGGCAGGATCACATGTGTGGTTCCAGGGCAGAAGGGCGCCTGAGTAGAGAAGGAAGAGGGGACATGTGCTCCAACCCCTAGTATCTAGCCGCCATTACACTAGACTTTAACAGTCATAATATCATTTGTGGCCTGCAACTACATGTGAGTATTCATTCCGTTGGGTCCAGTATTAAATGCTTATTACTGAACAGAAGAGCTCAGCCTCACTATAAAAATATGCACACGTAAGTCAATTTTGATTCCATATAAAACAGTTCTTCTTATTAACTAGCAAGTGCTTCTGTTAACACACAACTGCACAATGCTTATTGAAAAGCTCTCGATGTGCCTTTGGCTCCACAGATAAAGAAATGGTATTTATCGGAACAATTGCTTATTATTCCATTTTGAGGACTGCAGTATATTTGGGAGGGGAAATGGGAGGTGGTTCAGACTTTTAAGCAACAACAAAAAAAGCCTTGATCTGTGTGCAGTCTCCTGAAAATGAAGAAAATCTTAGCATTAAATTTTCACTTGGTATACAAGACTCTATTGATTAAAATGACGTGTGTGAATGCATAGCCAACTGCTAAAGCTGAAATACATGGAACGATCTGTCCTAGTGACCTTGAAAGCGTTAATCTAGCTCCCAAAGTCCAGGAAGTTGCTTATACTCCTGGAATGACTTAGGAAAGAGGCCAGAATCAACAACGCTGGACCCAACAAACAGCATGAACATCAACATGGTTCATACCTTTAAACTGAGAATTTGGCAGCTCTCGGGGCAGCCTGTTATGGGAGGAGGAATACCAGTCTTGGAACTGGAATAAGAACCCTCTATCTTAAACTAACTTATATGGAAGTGAAGTTTTTACTCCCTTTGTGAATGAAGAAGTAAAAATGAATACCATAACCAACATTAAAATAGCTTTCAAGTTTGTAAAGCATTTTTCATACAGTGACATATTTTTTTTTCCCTCAAAGAACTTTGCTAGATGTTTGTGGTTGACAAGAGGAGAGCATCCTGTGTGGGGGCTGCTTCCTGTCCATCTCCTACACTACACCACTGGCCAGTCACATACATTCAAAGTTATCTCGTCTTCCCATTAGTACTGAGAATGACAAATGGTCAGTAAGAATCCAACCAGTTGAATACTTTTTTTCTTGAATGTCATTTGAAGTGAATGAAGAGGCACAGCTAAAGCTGAGTGGTGTCCCCTTTCTTTTCAGGGGAACTTGAAACTGCCTTACTTCCCCTTTGGCTTTTCTACACTTAAAAGTGACAGCTCATATGTGGCAGCTATGTAAGAAAACTTGCCTGAGGGGAAACTCGTGTCATCATTTAAGATACTCAATGAATGTTCTTGGGTAAAAGAAATGGCTTAAAAGCATAACCCATTACAATCATAGACACATACAATTTTAAAGCCAGAAGAGGTCTTAGATATCATCTAATTCCAAGAAAACATACAACAAAAAGTCAGGAGACATGGGTCCTGTTCCTGGCCCTAATGCCTACTCGCTGTGGGATACTGAGTGACAAGTAACTAACCTCACTGGTACTCTATTTCTTCATCTTTCAAATAAAAAGACCAGACTTGATCATTTCTAAGGTTCCTTCCAGATCTAATAGTTTGACTCTAGGATTCTACATACGAGAAAGGTGACGATTTGGAGGTTAAATCAATTGTCCAAAATTACACAGTGTTAGCTTTTAACTTTTGTTTTAAAGAAACTTTTATAGCCAAAGTAGTTATGCCAATCAACTTTAGACTAAATTCTTCATTTCCTATAATAAGAAACAGCTGAGTTTCGTTTTGGTTCTTAACCTGGTTTCCTAATAAACGACAAAGTAATACGGTAACTTGGTGAGGTGGGCAAAGTTTCTAAAAACACGGAGCTGAACTTAAACGTTAACTTTGGCTTTTTTAAAATCAGTTTCATTGTTTGATTGTCACATTTTCTATAATGAGATAGCAGATAAGAATGTGATTCTAAAAAGAAATTCCTCCAAGAACCTGCTTTAGGCAGAGTAGGGGAAACTAAGGTGATATTAACAGCTCTCATTTACATATAAATAACTGCTCTGGTCCTTGAAATAGTTGGCTTTTCAGAAAGTAGGTTAATCATGACTAACTCCACCTATATTTTTAAAGACTCTTCATTTGCTTAGCATTCAGACTGTTAACAATGACATCAGAGAAAATCCTGCAGCAGCTGTTAGGGTGTGCAGGTGACCCTGAAGAGCTGAGCTCTGTACTACAACGGAAAAGCTTCAGGTAGGATCCTGGGAACATCTGTTCTCCATCACTGCTCAGGATGGAGAGATTCATCAACAATTTGGCTGAAATCCAAACAGTGGAGCTTACAATATATCCTAGAGACAGGAAGGAGGCAATGGTGATTCCACAGGGAGTCAGTCAACAATCATTTATTAAGCACTTCTAGCGTGCCAGGCACTGTGCCAAATCCTAGGGAATACTCAAGGAGTTCAACTCATGGAATAATTTGCTCCACAAACTTTTTCTTTACAAATATCAAAAAGGTAAACCCCAATCCAACACGTATGGGTCCTGAGTTTAGGTTTCACTATTCACTCATTTTTTAGCTTCATCATGGACCCACACTGCAATCTCCACTACAAAGAATAAGCAGAAGAGCTTAAAAAGACAAATGTCTTACACCACACCCTTGGATCCAGAGCAGTTGATAGCGCATTTAAGAGGTCTCTTACAAAACTACCTTCACAGTGGGATTACCAGGGGTTGCATACCAACAGTGCTGGCATTTGGAAGCCAGTCTGTTCAGTTACAGCTCTCTTGGGGTCCTCTTCCATACTATGAAAGCTCGTGAAACAGCTTGAAGATAATGTAGTTCAAAACCCAATTTTAGAGCTAAGAAAAGACAAAGTGACTTGAACAAATCAACTTGGCATTTGCTACTGAGTGGTAGAAAGACTAGAATCCAGGACTTCTGACCCCCAGTCCAGTGCCCTGCCTGTTATACTGAGATTTCTTCCAGGTACTCTTCTGATCTTTAGGAGTTCTATAGAATAAAGTCAATGCTGCCATTCTGTTTAGGTGTCCCCACAACCGAGGTGAGAGATCTCAGAATATAGCCAGGCAGTACTCCTGATGGAAGACCATCATGTAGGGTAACCACACTATGGCTTATAAACTCCCTTCAGGGGTCAAAATACCATAGCCAGAGTCTCTAGAGCCCAAGACTAAACCACCAGATCATCCCCGCCACAGCCCTCCAGAAACCCTAGATCAGTTCAAAAAGATTCGCAAATTTACCTGTCATCTTTGTTTATCTGGTCTCCAAATCCTACAGTATCAACAATGGTCAGTTTCAGACGTACGTTGCTCTCCTGAAGCTCGTAACTCCTGGCTTTTAACCGGACTCCCGGCTCATTGTGAGTGGCTGGGTCACTTTCAAACTTGGTGTTGAATAAAGTATCCATTAATGTTGACTTACCAATGCCCGTCTCACCTGCATACACAAACAAAATGGAATCAGGTCCCTCCAATACCTCATTAACTTTGCATTTACCTTAATGGGTGGGGAACTGTGCCCCCAAGGCCACATGTGGCCCTCTAGGTCCTCAAGTGTGGCCCTTCGACTGAGTCCAAAATTCACAGAACAAATCCTCTTAATAAAAGGATTTGTTCTGTAAAATTTAGGCTCAGTCAAAAGGCCACACCCAAGGACCTAGAGGGCCACATCTCAAGGCTGCAGGCCCCCTACCCCTGCACCTATGAGATTCTTCCTCAGACACTCATATGTTACTATCAGACTTTAGAGTCTTAAACAGTAAGGATGACTCTTTAGCTGTGGAGGAAAACTGAATACTTACAAGATAGTCTTTGGACAGTATGTATACTTTACAACTCTTTACTATATTCAAGATCACAGGATCCCAGTATTCAGAGCTGCAAAGTGGGGTTTAGCAGATTAAAGGTAAACCCTTCATTTTATAGAAGAAACTCAAACTCAGGTTAAATGTCAGAGCCACATTGATCTCCACGTTCTCTGACTCCAAACTTTACCTCCCTCCCCCATGCTCTGCTATACAATACCAAGTTTCTGTCACTTTTTAAGAAGTATGTAGGGGGCAGCTAGATGGTGCAGTGGATAGGGCTCTGGCTTTGGAGTCAGGAGGACCTGAGTTCAAATCTGACCTCAGACACTTGACATTTACTAGCTGTGTGACCCTGGGCAAGTCACTTAACCCCGATTGACTCACCAAAAAGAAAAAAAGAAACAAGCATGTGGGCCATCATATTATATTTAAATAAATATTTTCTGACACCATCTAGTGTTGTAAAGTGGAATGGCATTTTTCAGAGCTACAAAATGTGTGCAGTCCTTTAAGGGCAAAGATCGATTCAATTAAAAAAGCAGGTGTTTAAAAGCATTTACTAAAGAAATCACTGTCCTACACCAGGGGTCACTCTGTACTATTTGTAAAGTCCAATGAACTGAGAATGGCTTTCACATTTTAAAATACAATAAAACTTTATTTAAAAATGTAAAAATTAGGGGTGAAGCCAAGATAGCAGAGTACAGGCATCAACCCAAATAAATTCTCCCAACATTCCCCTCCAAACAACTTAAAAATAACTCCTCAAATCAAATTTTGGAGTAGCAGAGCTAACAAAAGGTCAAAATGAGACATTTTTCCAGCCTAAGACAACTTAGGAGGATGATGGAAGGGATCTGTGACCGTGGGGTAGGAACCTGCCCAGAGCACAGCAGCAGAACCAGCAGTGGGCATTGGAGGGAACCATGACAGCAGTGACAGCAGCAGCAGCTTTGGGAGTTCTCTCCCCATCGATAGTAAGGGGGAGGGGGACCACATAACTAGTCAGAAAGAGATTAGAAGGGACCCTTTGCTGGCACTGGGTGAAGCTGGTGCTGATCGACCACACTATTGCCCACACACAATTATGGGTCACAATTGAAGTACTGAGAGGAGCCCTAGCAAGGCAACTGCAGGAGAACTGGGACACTTGTTAGAGTTCCAGGGTCAAGAGGAATGCTGGTTCCTGCAGCTGCAGGGAAGCAAGGGCCTTCTTGGGTAAAGACCAGAGTGCAGACGAAGAGAGCAGGGACCACACCTCTCCCTGAATCACACCAACTTGGAAGCACCAAAAACTTGCAGACCCCCAGAACTAGCTCTGAAAACAGAAGCACAGAAAATGCCTGAAGTTTGGAGCAGTGCCTCCCCACCCTCAGGTGAGCAGAGCCCAATTTTAATATAAAGTGCAAAGTCAAGAAATGGGCTGGAAAAATAAGCAAACAACAGAAAAAAGAACTTGACCATAAAAAGCTACTATAGTGGCAGGGAAAATTAAGACATACACTCAGAAAGAAGACAATAATGTGAAAACAGCTATAAGCAAACTTCAAAGAAAAATGCCAATTAGACCCAAGCCCAATAAGAATTCCTAGAAGAGTTAGAAAGAAATAAGAGCAAGTAAGTAGTACAGTGGAAAGAGTGCTGGGTCTGGAGTCTGGAAGACCTAAATTGAAATCCAACCTCAGATACTTGCTAGCTGCATGACCCTAGGCTTTGCCTCAGTTTCCTCATCTGCAAAATTAGCTGGAGAAGGAAATGGCAAACTACTCTAGTATCTTTGCCAAGAAAACCCCCAAAAGGGTCACAAAAAATCAGAAAGAAGAAAGTGACTAACAACAACAAAGAATGGTAGAAGAAAAATTGGGAAAAGAAATGAGAATGATGCAAGAAAATTATGAAAAGAGAATTAACAGCTTGGTAAAAGAGGCACACACATACAAAAAAATACTGAAGAAAATAACAGCTTAAAAAACAGAATTGGCCTAATGCGGTAGCTAAGGACTCCATGAGACATCAAAAAAACCGATAAAACAAAGGCAAAATTGCGAATGAAAAAAATAGAGAATGTGAAATATGTTAACAGAAAAAATAATTACATGGAAGATAGATTAAGGAGAAATAATTTTAATTTAAGAATTATTGAATTACCTGAAAGTCATGATAAAAAAGAACCTAGACATCATATTTCAAAAAAATTATAAAAGAAAACTGCCCTGATACCTTAGGTCCAGAGGATAAAACAGAAATTGAAAGAATCCACCAATGACCTCCTAAAAGAGATCCCCAAATGAAAACTCCCAGCAATGTTACAGCCAAATTCCAGAGCTCCCAGGTCAAGGAGAAAATAATGTAAGCAGTCAGAAAGAAACAATTCAAATATTGTCACAGTCAAGATCACACAAGATTTAGCAGCTTCCACATTAAAGGAGTGGAGGCCTTGGAATATGATATTCCAGAAGGCAAAAGAGCTAGAATTACAACCAAGAATCATCTACCCAGAATCATCTACCCAGCAAAAATAAATACAATCTTTCAAGGGAAAAAAACAGATATTTAATGAAATAGAGGACTTTCAAGCATTTCTGGTGAAAAGACCAGAGCTGAATAGAAAATGTGACATTCAAACAAAAGACTCAAGAGAAGCATAAAAAAGGTAAACACGAAGGAGTAATCATAAGAGACTCAAAGTTAAACTGTTTACATTCTTATATGGGCAGATGATACATGTAACTCCTCAGAACTTTATCATTATTAGGAGAGTTAGAAGGTGTCTACATAGACAGAGGGCATGAGTATGAATCAGTTATGTTGAATGATCTCCCCTTTCCCCCCCTCCACCCCCCAAATGAAGGAGTGAGAAAGTGGGCTGCATTGCAAGAATGGAGGAGAGATAGGATGGGGAGAATCTTCTCACATAAAAGAGGCATGCAAGGAACAACTTTTGTAGTGGAGGGGGTGATGGACGTGGGGGGAGGGGCAGGCAATGCTTGAAAGCTCACTCTCATTGGAATTGGTTCAAAGAGGGTTGGGTATAGTAACCTATCTAGCTTACCCAATAAGGAAATAGGAGGAGAAAGGGTTAAGAGATATGCGTGGGGGGAAATGACAAAAAGAAGGGTAGATTAAGAGCAGCAGTGATTAGAAACAAAGCAGGCTTCTGAGGAGGGTAGGATAGCAAGAGAGAAGGATAAACAGAAGAAAACAGGAGGAAGGGAAATGCAGAGTTAGTTACCATAACTGTAAATGTGAATGGGACAAGCTCACTCATAAAATGGAAGTAGTGAGCAGAAGGCATTAGAAATCAGAAACTAACAATATGTAGTTTACAAAAGACACACTCGAAACAGCAAGATACAGAGTTAAAACGAAGGGCTAGAGCAGAATCTGCGAGGCTTTAGCATAAGCACAAAAAGGCAGGGGCAACAATCAATCTCAGACAAAGCAAAAGCAAAAAATAGATCTAATTAAAATAATTAAAGGAGATAATCGAGGAAACTACATTTTGCTAAAAGGGACCATAGACAATGAAGGAAAAGCAAAAATTTTTACAGCAACTTTCTCAGATAAAGGTCTCATTTCTCAAATATATAGGAAACTGGGTCAAATTTATAAAAAATAAGATGCATTCCCCAACTGATAGAAAAATGGTCAAGGGATATGAACAGGTCAGTTTCAAAAGAAGAAATCAAATCTATCTATAGTCATATGAAAAAAAGTTCTAAATCACTATTGCTCTGAGGTACTGCCTCACACCTATCAGAAATTACAAATGCTGGAGAGGATGAGGGAAAATAGGGAGGTACATTAATAAACTGTTGATAGAGTTGTGAACTGGTCCAACCATTCTGGAGAACAATTTGGAACTATGCTCAAGGGACTATATCTCTTGACCCAGCAATACCACTACTAAGTCTGTACCCCAAAGAGATCAAAGAAAAACGAAAAGGACCGATAAGTAAAATGTGTGTGTGTGTGTGTGTGTGTGTGTGTGTGTGTGTGTGTGTGGTGTGTGTGTGTGTGTGTGTGTGTGTGTGTGTTCATAGCAGCTTTTCATGATGGCAAAGAATTGCAAATGGAGAGGATGCTCATCAATTGGGGAATGGCTGAACAAGTTATTGCATGATTATGATGAGTACTATTGTGTATAAGAAATGATGAGGGGGTTGGTTTAAAAAAAAAATATGGCAAGACCTATATGAACTGAAAGTGAAGTAAGGAGAACCAGGAGGGAGATCATTTTGCACAGTATTAGCAATGTTGTAATGATGATCAATGGTGAAAGACTTGGCTACCAAGCAATGTGAAAGGCCTAATGATGAAAAAATGCTATCCACCTCCAGAAAAAGAATTGATGAACTCTGAGTGCAAATTCAAGTGTCATTTTCTCATTTTCTTTCTCTCTCTCTCTTTTTTTTTTTTTGGTGATATGGCTAATATGGAAATGTCTAGCATGATTTCACATACATAATTGATATCATTTTGCTTCTCAGAAGGTAGGAAAGCAGTGGGAGGGAGGGGGAGAATTTGGAACTCAACCAAAAAGAAAAGAATGCTAAAATAAATAAATCTACATATTTTTAAGGCGAGTAAGGATCATTCTGCTCTCCCCAGTAGGACATAGTTTGCCTAC